ATGGATGTCAGCTATATTGTTAATAAATGATAGATTTTTTTTCCCCATATAGTTTGATACTTCCTTTTAAAGATAAGCAATAGGTCTAAAAGCGCGCTCTCTCATCTTTTAAACGGCAGGCAGACAACTGAAATTTTGTATTGCTTAATGTAAACTAGTAGCAAATCCTGTAATTAACGACAGCCAAGGGTATGCCTTATTAAATGGCTTGCAAGCTTAGCGTGTGTTAAGACCTCAATTTTGCTATGATACGTGCTTTATTACAAAGGGATGGCTAAGTCTAAGTTGACACCTCAGTAGTGGCCACGTACATAAGTGCTGGTAGCACCATCTATTATTAATGCTGCCTGATATGTTTTTGGAAGGAAATCTCCAACGTTTCCGTGCTTCAAGGCACAGGCCTGATATTTTTATGGCTACATTTATTGTCAGGCAGACGTTTGTGTCACCCCCGGGGAAAACAACTGCCCATGTTACATACCCTGGAAACCTGCAATTTTAAAGCAAGCTATAAAAGCCGGTCAGATTCGAGGGCCTAAAGACCCCAGAAAGACCTTTTTTCCTTGGGAAAGTAAGCTTATGCCCTCAAGATGCAGAGGAAAGAAATACCCAGTTCAAATGCATACGGAACAGGAGCCAGACCTGTAGAGCAGCGGGTACGCCTGAGGCAGAAACTGAGGATTGGGAATCAGACTTGCTGGAGAAGGCGATGAACGGAGGTGCCGAGGGAGCAGTAGACACGGACGGTCAGGTGGAAAGTGGGAGGGAGCAGAGAGGCGCCTCTGCACAGGGATGAGGGTGAGAAGCGTGTACGTGCGACTGCGAACCGTCTGTGTGCCGCTGCCCAGCGCCCAGGGGGCTCCGGACAAAAAGGAGTATGTCAGACTTGTACAGCGTACAGGCACAAGGGGGCCCGAGCCAGTTCGAACAGAAAACCCTTCAGTCTGGAGTTCCTTTTGAGCAAGTGGCTTTGCAACGTTGCAAGTCTCCTTGGCAATGTGTGGGGTTTTTTTGTTTTGGTCTGTAATGAAAACTTGATGCCTCCTCTTCAGCTAAAGCTCTTCTGTTTATTACTGTGAAACGCAGAGAAGGGTATAACAGTTAAAGCCCACTATTTGTAGAGACAACCAATCCTGTCCTAAACCTCTCAGACCAGGCTAGATCAAGAGAGTCTTGTACTTCTTCTCCCAGGTAATGGGCAATAGGATGAGGAGAAACGGCCTCAAGTTGCGCCAGGGCAGGTTTAGGTTGGACATTAAGAAAAATTTCTTCGCCGAAAGGGCTGTCAAGCATTGGAAGGGGCTGCCCAGGGAAGTGGTCGAGTCCCCATCCCTGGGGGTATTTAAAAGCCGGGCAGACGAGGTGCTTAGGACCATGGTTTAGCGGTGGGATGGCAGGGTTAGGTTAGCGGTTGGGCTTGATCATCTGAAAGCTCTTTTCCAACCTCAACGATTCTGTGATTCTACTTGGTTTGTGAGCAGACTCTGACAGCTGCCCATCTCATACTGACGAGGCAGTAACAAACGTGGCTAACTTCAAAAACTACGTGCTCGTGACTGAAGCCAGCCTGAAGCTGCCATCTCAGCATTGCCCCTGCAAGTCGCCGGCTGCAAGCAGCTCTGCACGCCCGGGGCTCCGCAGCTGCTCAGGCCCGGGGCCGGCTCCCTCCCCGGCGCACCGAGATCAACCGCAGAAGCTCCTCACGCCCCTGGGGCTGCACGCAGGCGCTGGGAGGGATTTTTGAAAGCAGGCAAGCTCTTCACCCCTTCCCGCCGCAGGGCCGCGCCTGAGGGACACCGAGACC